ACAACTCTTCGTGAGTACTCCCACTCCATTGTCGCACTCCCATCTTCTCTAGATCTTCTCAGATTGCATCTTTCCACCTTTTTCTAGACCGCTCTACAGACCTTCTTCCATCTAGCCTTTCCCAAAACACATTGTTTATAAGGCGATTGTCGTTACTGCGTATCACATGTCCTGCCCATCTGAGTCTATTGGCCTTAATATATCTGACTAGATTTTCTTTTCCGAATAGAGACTCTAGCTCGTTATTGTATCTGCCCCTCCATTCGTTTGTCACGCTGGCTCTGCAAGTTCCATATATCATTCGAAGAAGGAAAGGTTCTTCTTCTTTATGGAAGGTTGGTCTACTGGTACCCCACCTTCTGGTAATGACAGTAGATTAAAAATTTTTCACATTGGCAGTGAAAAAGGATTTGTTAAGCATGGATTTTTTGGAATTTTAGTCCAAAAGCACAAAAGACTATTACGAGGAGATGACAGCTGATATTTTCGAAGAGTATTTTGAGCAGATGATTGAATACATACCACCAAATTCAATTATAGTATTAGATAATGCACCTTATCATTCACGACTAGTAGAAAGACTTCCAACGACTGCGTGGAAGAAACAGGATATTCTTGACTGGTTGCGGAATAAGTATCTGCCTTACGAAGATGGAATGGTAAAAGTAGAACTTTTAAAAATTGCCCGGCAATACAAATCTAAGTTCAAGAAATAAGTAGTTGACATAGTTGACAAAATGGCGGAAAAGCGAAACATCACGGTCCTTAGACTTCCACCCTACCACTGTGAAATAAATCAAATTTAACTCGTTTGGGCACATTCAGTACGAAATCATTCGAGCTGTGGATGTACAGAAGAATAATAAAAATATCGTGGACAAAACACGTCACAAACAAAGAAGTTCTTGGAAGAATGAATAAAAAAATGAAAATTTTAAACACAGTAAAAACAAGAAAATTAGAATATCTCGGACATAATATTACGCGTGGAGAGAAATACACTCTGCTCCAATTGATTATGCAGGGAAAAATACAAGGAAAGAGAAGCATAGGGAGGCGTAGAATGTCATGGCTGCGCAACCTGAGAGAGTGGTACGGATGTACATCAAATGAAGTTTTCAGAGCAAAAAGTTTGTCCTTCTCAAAAGTTTGAATAGCTATGATGATTGCCGACCTCCGCCGCGGAGATGGCACTTGAAGAAGAAGGAGGGCACAAATGAAAAGTTATGTGGCTAGAAAAATACATCATATAAAATACAAGCTATACGTGAATTGTTATACGAGTCATACAACATATTATAGAACAAAACTGGAAAGATGCAGTAAGACATGTAATATAAGAAGAACAAAAAATTTGGGATCTTGATAACATAATTGACGCGACCGTAGAGACACAACCGCTAATTATTAACCCTCAAGACGACTCGGATTCCGAAGTTAATCCTATTTATTTTGAATTTGAATAGTTTTCTAATCGTAATTATATAAGGTAAGGTAATGTAATCGTAAGGTGTTAAAGGGGAAAGGCGCAAAATGTCGCCTGTCAAAATGTTCAATGTGTTTCTTCATTGTATCCATTTTTTTTTTCAAATCCTGAGAAAACTAAAAAGCATTTTTGAAAAATTTAAAGGCAGAATGAAATATCTATTATAATGTAATCTTTCATTCTGCGTTTAAATTTTTCAAAAATATTTGTTAGTTTTTTCCGGATTCGAAAGTAATGGATACATTTAAAACACATTGAAAATTTTGCCAGGCGACATTTGGCACCTTTCCTCTTAATTAAATAAATGTATCTTTTACAAATGGCAAGAAACTTTTTATTTTTGAATAAAACAAAGAAGTTTTATTAAAACAAAAATACGATTTAGGGGAGAGTGGCAATGAAACGGACATTTTACTGTATGGGCTTATATTTATTGCACAGAGTTTTCAAATACAAAAATAAATTGGCAGTAAAAAAGTACATCCTTAACCTATCAATAATATTAAAAATGGGTTTTCTAAAACTAAAACATCTTGACATTACAGAACATAAAACTACTTAGTTAATTTGTCCGTTTCACTACTTCGGTGTATTGAAACGGACATATGGTGTTTTGGAAAGGACATCAGTTTACTTAAACCAATTACTAAGGTAATATTCATGAACCTTATTAACACATATGAAAAAACAACATTATTAACAACTTAAAAGCATTAAATAAAATATAAAACATTAATTACAATTGTTACAAAAGAAATGGCGAACTCCTTGTAGGCCACAAGATTCGTGACTCCACCTCTTGCACATATAACATTGCAGCCAGTCTATCTTACTTTGAATGTAGTCTCCATTACACACTCTGCATGTCTCATCTTCTTCATTTTTTTCATTGGCAAATTTTGTCTGATCTTTATTTGTTTCCCTCTTTGTATTTTTTGCTTTTTCAAATTCATCAAGATTCAAGTCCTCTTCAACGCTTGTCGTTTGTTCTACGTTTTTATCAAGAACTATTTTTAACTTTCTTTTTGGTATTATATTTTTATCTTTGGTTTTGTTAAATTTAAGATAAATGTCGTCATTGCTTGAGTCGTGTAACGATATATTTGAACTTGAGTCATCAGAACTTGATTCTTGACATAAGTTTTTAATGCGTTTTTTTGTGACTTTTGATATTTTCCGTATTTTACGAGCAGCTACTTCTTTTTCCTCCATGAGTCTATCCTTCTCGGGGGTGTCTGTGATAATTGTAGTTTTATCTTTTCTGGGCCCTCCTAGTTTTGATTTTCGGGGGCCAGCCTTGGAATACGGTCTTATTTGATGCTGAGATACATATGAAACATCTCTTAAAGTAGATGGAATATCTCTTGAAGTAAATGGAACATTACATAAAGTAGAAGGCAAGTCAAGATCATTACTTTCATTTAATGTCACTAAAAATGTTTAATTGCTAATAGAAATCCTTCTTCTGTTATCCAACCGCTTGGATTAGCTAAACCTAAAGCACCTTTTGGACCATCTTTTAGCATAAAATCTTTATAATGAACTCATGGGAACACAAATGCTGGAGGAATTGTGCCCCCAGAAGCATTCATAAAACCAACCATAGTGACTAAATTGCCTCTTTCGGCCGATGTTACTTGGCCAACCTGTTTTACTCCTTTCACTGCTATGACTTTAGGAGGATTTGTTACGGTACTGCAGCCAGTTTTGTCAATGTTCCATATCATGTGTGGCTTAAAAGTAAACCTCTTTAAGACCGTTTCTAAATTATCATAAAACCTAGCTACATTTTCATAATTAAAAGATGTAGTTCGTGATAAAGAAGTATTCTCGGGCTTTCTGATAGAAAGAGTAGGATTTCGTTTTATAAAACCACGTAACCAATTGTTAGTGGCCTTTTCACGTTGGTTCCAAATAATAGGTGCCACATTATTTACTCTAGCGTACTGAAATGTCCATTTCCTAGTTTGTACGGTAGTTAATCCATAGCACATCTTGGAACACGTTTTTAAATAGTCAGCTAGCATATTTTCTTGCAAACCAGAGAATATACTTTTATTACCAATGTCCGGCTGATAATGATATTTACCTTCATTTTTCTTAGCAGTTTTACATATTTCTGCCAAATATGACTTTGAAATACCATGTGCGGCCGCCGTTGATCTAATTGATTGCTTTCTTTCTAGGACCTCTTTTACCTCCAGGTCAATGGTTTCACTTGTGGGACGAATCCTCTTCCTCTTTACTGCGCTCATTGTCTAAAACAAAATAAAAATCATATAAAAAGAAATCTAAGTGTATATTTTTGATATGGTGTTTTGAAAAGGACAGACATCAATGCATTGAAACGGGCGTCCGTTTCAATACTATATTGCATTTCCACTTCAAAGCAACGGACAGTTGATGTTTTTAAATAGAAAATATTCAAACTATAATTGACTTAGAGATAATATTTATATTTAATATAAGGCCAGAAGAATGTATAAAAACAAATATATAACTATCAATTTTTAAATACTTACGGTTACGTCAAATAGGGTTCGGAAGTTGCACAAAAAATTTACTTTTTACGGTACAAAAATAAAAATGCACGTGTAGCTCGGATTAACTTCAGGAACAGACTGGTTTTTATGTAGGCTGACGTAATGGATACAACGTTGCCACGGTGTGCCTCAGTGGAGCTTAACTTAAATTGTTAAAGCAGTTACAGCGACTGTCCGTTTCATAACCCGTCCGTTTCATTGCCACTTTCCCCTACATAAGTACAATTTAAAAAATATATTTATTTAGTTTAAATAAATGTTTCAATCATATACTCTATGACACTGGTCGGTCATCTGTAACCAAAATACCTTCGTAATCGGATTATAAGGTTGACTGCTGTATTGTATTCCTTTAGGTACAAGGTGGGTAAGTCGAAAACATCTTAAACCGTCAGTTGCACGTTGGTTTTTACTATTATATCGTATTATCTATCCTCTCTGTATTTCAGTTCTATAATTAGAGTTAAACTTGTAGTGAGCTATCGACAAATTGTGAATCGATTATAGAGAGTTTTATTGTGTTGTTTTGGTAGATATTTGCCAAATACCTACCAAATATCATGGTGGACTATTGCACTGACCCAGTTACATATTTATATCTATAAATAAAAGGTATTAATTACATCGCAGGCAGTACTAAATAATTAAGGTCGTCATGACTCCTCACGTCTTAAAAATAGTGTTCGAAAAATGATCAGTTATGACTTTGTCGTAACATAAATGAAGACACCTTATATCATCGAAGAATTTATTTTATTATTAATGGATACAATATTATTTTAAGACATTAAAGTTTTCGGTAGTGTAGTAGTGAGTTTTCTCGAGCAGTGTATTTTGTGGTAGGTACTACCTTCTTATATAATAAGTATGTCAGAAAAAAGTAATTTGTAAAATTCCCAGATTCGTGTCAGTATACATCTAGATATTTAATCGACAAGTGCTTTTATTTACTATTTAGTTTGTGTATGTTTCTAAAGTTTACGAACTTTATAGTTCAAAAAAGCAAAAAAGCAGAATATTATGAGCTACAGTTTTGTTTGTTGTGAGAATATACTATAAGCTTCAAGCAATACAATTTATTAAATTATTATTACAACATATTTCTAAAATGAAGTGGTTTGCAATCAAGGTTATTATTGTAATTGTGTTTGGGATTTTTATTAATCATACTTTCGCGGAAGTAGAAGACCACGTGGTAGGTAAAAGAATCATAGTTTTGATCATTCTAGGTTAGGGAACGAATAACTTAAATGTACGAATATAACGTATTTTAATTACACAAACCTTAATTTTTAAGTCTGATTTCTCATCTTGATTAGTGTTTTAATTAGAGATTGGAAATTGTATTATCTAAATTTAGTAAAAAATCGAAGATAGAAATCTAGACACCTAAATGTAACTAACGTTTATTTGTTCTTCGTTTAGATTAATTAGACCTATGGTCTGTTGAGCACCAACTATTTTTTTTAAGATAAAAATAATAAAATAAAATAAAAATATCAAACATGTGACGTTTATAACGTCACAAGTGAGCATTCAACAACACCTGCTACGGGACAATCATAAGGGTAATTCATGTAAAACAAATGGGCAAAACAAGCTGCATGCTAAAGAGCCTGTAATACACACAACATTAATAGCGGATACAGTATCAGCACATATATCGAGAGCCTGTTTGCAGGAAGGAGACTTAAGATCTCTTCTTATGAAATTTGATCGTGAATGTCATTAAGTCTAGCTATAGAACTAGACTTAATACCAACAGGCACCATGTCATGGTCTAATCGGACGACCTGGTCATCTTAGCCCACAGCAAATTTAATGGCAGAGTCAGAGATAAAATGCAATAGGTTCTGACTAAATTAATAGCATGAACTTGAAATGTAGGGCTTAACGTAGTCCAAAATCATAAAATTTAGCATAGTTAGGAGGGATTGGGCCTAAATACCTTTCTTGGAATAATATTAGACTTCTGTCTTACTTATAGTCAGCAGATAGAAGGAAACCAATAATAACATATACATCAGTGATATGTAACCGAAGATGCAGAAAAAAGTGCCATTCTAAAACTGAGTTTGATATAAAGACTGGTTTTCCTTGGACTCACTTGGCCTAGAGAGGCACACTAGTAGGAGGTAAGAATGATATATTATAGAATGCAAGAAAACTTGAGCAACTCAGGATACCGAATAAATAATGATTTCTGACCATATGGTACCCAGATATAGGCTTAAAGTACCTTTTCAGGTATATATTTTCCCATGAGATGGGCTAGATGCAATACTTAACCCAGACTGTGGAGATAAACCTGGTACCCAGACGATTTTAATATTGCAGAAGGGTTCACTGAAAAATATTTTAAGATAAATATTTTGCAATCTTGCAATATACAAGATAAATTAATACAAGTGCTTTCGAAAAAAAGCGTATCAATATATGTACATATGGTCAAGTAGCCATAGGGGGATCTTAAATACTTTAAGATGAACTCTCAGCTAGTGTGAAAATATCGTGGGAAACTCGACGAACTGACAAAAGTAAACGGAACTGGACATGTGCTAATCAGGGTACCTGTATACAATGGGATTATTGCATGTAGATTTAAGTTGCAAATTCTGCAGAGGATTGCAATAATTCATATGTTGCATGATTGTCATTAGATTGCAAACACTTTTTGGAGACTACCGAGTTGCTCAAAAAACATGTAGTTGCTATCTTCTAGACGTGTATAAGTTGGTACAGGAATCCAGAATCTAGTAAACATATTTCTGGGATATTTACGGAAAGGTTCTTAAAGTTATTGTTCAAAAAAATAAAAATATTGCCAATTATACACTGGATATTTCGCTTTGGATGTATAAAAATCCGACATATAAAAAACAAAAATTTTCGTTACTATAATACGATAACTAAATGTTATTTAGTTTTAAAGAAAAATATGCTTGAGAGCTCAAAAAAATATTCTTATATAAATATATTTGTATAGCATATATATATATATATATATATATATATATATATATATATATATATATATATATACATATATTCTTTACAGTGTTAATGTTACAGTAAATTTCCTTATATAAGGGTACTTTGGCAACCAATTATTTATCTTTTAAAATTCTAGTATTCACCATATGATGTTAACTGACTTATTTAGGTCAAAGAGCTTTTTATTTTTGTTACATTTAATTTTTTAGATGAAAGCTGTAATTTTTTATGAGCCTTTTTGTCCATATACACGAGGATTTATTGAACAAGAAGTAAATCCATTTTTTGAAGGACATTTATCGAAGTTCGTTAAATTTGAAATAGTACCATACGATTCCAGGGTAAGTAAAACAGGATATTAAATCCTAATACAATATGATATATCAAATCAAGATTTAAATATTTTTTTAATTAGGGTAAAGTGTGCAAATCGCGGTCACCTAAGAAGAAAATTTAATATAAAAAAAAGTAAAACTCCGTGAATCAAATTTAAGCCGTCAATCCGTAATTTGGGGTTTTAACTTATTGCAAGATACATTTAATTTCAAAAATATAAAATTTTTGTCTTTGACAGAGACAAAACATAAAAAAGTATCTTTGACCGGTATTGTCACCATACATGGACAATACCGGTCATGAGTGTGGGTAATGCCAGTCAATTTGTTTGTGTTATTATTAAAATAAAAATCAATATCTATTTAACATTTTTTTGTTATAAAAACGATTAACGAATGTGGCTTAATGGGTCATAATTCAAGTAAATCAGTAAGAAAGGTGAAAACATATTTTTTATTACAAAACAAACAAAAAATAACAAAAAATATGTGTTTTAATGTAAAAATAGTTGACAGTCATCGCAGGTATAACTCTCTGCAGAATCCCATCCACTGCACTCTGAATAAGCCCATCGTGAGCAAACGGTAAATATATATCACAATTCATTGTTTTTTGCCAAACTCGATGTAAACCAGGCATCTATCTTCGTATGCATCGTCACTGTTATCACATGATATATCAATATCCGATTCCAAAGAACTAGAATCAAACACCTTTTTCTTGTAATGCCAATTACAAGAAAAAGGTGTTTTATTACAAGAAAAATTATCTTGTAAACCTAAATGCTAATTTTCTCAGTTCTATTACTGTTACGCCATAAAAAATTAAGCTAAATATTTTTTTTGTGTGGCTATTTTAGCTTCTTGTTCGGCAGAAAATACTGAGTTTCTACCTAATGAGACACCTTGAAGATTTTTATTTTTTATCCTTTCTTGCAATGTCGAAAAATGGATGGATTAATCCCTAAGGATTAATAGTATAGGGTATAAATTATAGCATGGGGGTAATACCGGTCAACTGACCGGCATTGCCTCCTGTTGGCATTTTTTTTCTTAGAATTTTTTACTCGTAAACATGTATTAAAATATTGATCTTTAAAAAAGGAATAGGCAGCTAACGTCATTATAATCAATTGTAACCAATTTTAAGATCTACAAGTGAATAAAAATGAATTAAGACCTTATATTACTCAGCATAAAAATAAGATCGAAAACACTGAAAACAGATTAATAATATTTCTATGACAATGATTTGCGCCAACTCAACGCTCGTCAGCAATCTGAATACAGAGTAGTGTAGCGACTCGTTGGCAGTTATAGGAGGTTGCCAGATTGAATAGATTTCGCACAATCGGGATGACCGCCATTACCCACTGACCGGTATTTGCGCAGTTTACCCTACGCGTATATACCCCCAGAAAATAATTACACTTTTAAAATTTCTTTTTTCACTTTTCAATAATGTGAGGAATGAGATACGTTTAATTCATATTATAGAATATCGCATAAAAATAAAATATAGGAATTACTGAGGAACTAAATAAATACTGAGGAACTAAATAAATCAGTAACTTTTATTATGTATTACTAGAATTACCATTTAAATGGAAATAAGCCAGAATTAAAGGTTAAAGTAAGTTTATTGACGTTTAAATTTCCACTTCGGAAATCGTTCTCAAAATACAAACATTAGTAAATTAAACAAATTTTGTTTTTTTATTACTTGGTGAAAAATTCTTCATATAATTTAATGTTATCTGACTCATTTATATTGACAAGTCATATATACATTATACATTGTAAAGTAGACGACTTTAAAATGATATTGCCAATATTGTTGAGTTGCGTTCCTGTGGCGACTTTACTTGTACGATAGTTCATTCGATTACATTAAATCAACTTTTACTTGAGAATATCCAAAAACAAATCCGTCAGAAAAAATCATAGCATGTAATTCATCTTTAAAAAGACAAACACATGCCATGATGACAGTAAAATTCTACTGTTAGTGATTCCATAGTAAAGTATGCGGAAAAAACCAGGAAAAAACCTCATAATTCTACCCCGACATGGTAATGCCATTTAAATAGTAATTACTTCAAAATGCCACAAGAAAATAGCTTCAGAACAATACACTATTACTTTTTATGCGGTTTTTTGAGGAGTTGATTTTAATTGAGAAATAATACTAACAGTAGATAAACTTAGTTTTAAGGCTGCTGCAATACGCTAAAATATATAATAAAACATTGTAATACAAAATTATATATTTTAAATTAAAGAAAAAAAGGGCTGCCATTATTTCACTCTTGTCTAAAATAATCTATTAAACAAACAACCAACATCGACAACTGAATAGTCAACAATGACAATTCAGTTGTTAAGGCATTTTAGCACATACAAACAAAATTAGTTTTTAAAGCTATTAAGCTGTATTAATTTATATATTTATAAACACATCACAGGAGATTATTAAAGTTATATATTTATTGCGAATCAAATTGATTAAAACGAACACATAGGAAAACAGGCTTAGTATAAGGTTATAAAGTATTGACAACACTGAACTGTGACTGCCCCATATTTGTCAGTCCACCATCACAATATTGAAACGTGAAGTATTTCCTTATTGATGGCGTACGATTGTGTAATCTAGTTAATTAACATGATTATTTTTTGAATAATTAAACTTAAACAATTGTTAATAAAATTTAAATTATTAATAATAATAAATATTTTCGTATATTTATTCAATTTAATTCTAAAATTCTCTAATTTTTCTTGTTATAATACAATGTTGACGCTTATGAAAGATCGAGCAACTCCGTAAGGATGTTGTATTTTAAGCCTTGTTAGGGAAATTTCAACTCTAAGGTTGATGTTCTGGATATTTTAAATACAAGTGACGTCACTTTGTATAAATGGTGACGTGAAACGTTTTTACTTTGAAAAATTGTATATATAATTTTTTTACATAAAAATTCTTTTACTGTCTATACAATTTGGTATATTTTTGAGAGCTGAGTCGTAAGTAAGTGAATAAACGAGGGAGTAGAAGGGATAACTACAAAGAAATGAATCAGTAACACAGTTTACAAGAATCTTTCTGCTGGATGGAAAGAAAGGCTTTTTTTCCTAAAAAATATTAAAGGGTGAAAATCTTTCTAAAGAAAATAATTCTACAATTGGTTTAAAGAGAAACATTACATATTTATTATTACTTCACCATAAACAGTTATTCCAAATAATAACAAAATTTAAAAACCAACTTACAATAGTGCTATTTGTAACAGTTTACAATAAGCTCCAGATGTTGGGATTCCTATAGGAATTTAAATTATTATTAAGTTAATAATATCTAGATTTTTCAATGGAGCTTAAATTGAGGTTAACCTTAAAACAAAACAATTCAAATTTATGGTTATGTACCAAATATCCGAAAGGGATAATACTAACTGTCATATGTCGAAATGAAATTTTAAAACTTTTAAAATAATAATTAAATGTTTAAAATTATTTGCATTTAAAAGAATTATAATATGACTATTCAAAAATACATAAAACAATTTTATTTATTACAATTTTTTAACTTGTCATGTAATCAACTTTTTTATTAATGAAAATTGCCTATTTTTACTTAAAAAACTGTTTAACAAAGAGTACCTTACATCACTCTGGCTGATGTATTTCTTTCAAGAAGTTTTTGGAATTGGGACTGGATGCAAAACACTGCAAGCAACACGCAACTATATCCCACTCAAACTGGAAATTGGTCTGAAATGACCAGGGAACACAAAAAGACAATTCCTTGCAAGTTGGGCACTGGATTCGGACTTCGGATTATCCTGGATGACAAAAACCTGCAATCTTCAAAACTCGGCCTCTCAATTTCCTCCCCAAAACCATGTGAACCTCTCAAATGGTTGAAAACGCCGTGGTTCAAATCTCTCAGATAAAACACAGTACGAACATCGGTGACTAACTCAATAAAAAACTGCCAGATCGCATTTTGATTGAAATTCACCTTTCAAATTAAAAAAATTTGTCGGCTTTGAAGACTATTTTCTTAAACTCCACACTGCTACACTACACATTTTTATACAATATACAAATTGCATATACAAAATACAAACATACAAACAATAACGAATTGGAAGAAAAATCCGGACTCACTGCTTCCGCGACTTATTGTCGAGTGAGTTATCTTATTCTTAAAAATCATTCGCCTCCCCGCATAACTGTCTCAGCAATCAAAGTAGATGTTTACGTGACGCTCAATCATCGCTTACCATCAAAGAAATACGCATCTGTGTTATATAAACAAACTTAAAATTTTTATGTTATCAATCCCAACGACGCAAAAGGATTGAGAAAATATTTTTGGGTTTTTTGGGGAAATCGAAATAAATCGAAGTGCTACAAATCACATCATAAAGTTCATGAGGTGAAATATAGTATTTTATATTAGCTGTACTCTATGCAATTAGTTTTTTCACATCCCAGATTTTTAGTTAAGCAAATTTTTTCAATCTTGTTTGTTGTAATATTGTCTTTTCTTCATACTTTTTGTATCTTCTATTTGTTCAGCGAGTTCCAAATATTGGTCTGATGATGATGAACACATTATAATGAGAAACCCTTTTACTTTTACTTTGTAAAATTTCTGTCAATGACTTTTGTCTCCATTGTTTTTGATCTGCTTGTAGACTTAACGTAGGATTATCTATATTAAAAAAGAAGAAAACTTTGTAATGTATTATAATAATATAATATAACTTTAAACTGCAGTCATTAACTAAACACTTTACGCACGGCCTGTAACTAGACGCAAAATGAATGTTCAAAACGACGTATGTGCGTTTTGAACAATTACTTTCGACTCAGCTAAATTGGTTTGGACTAGTTTATTCTGGAGTGTGCGTATTTGTATCAGGATCAACTAGTTTGGTCTAGCTGGCCTAAACTGTTGTATTCCATCGGGCCTAGGATGAATTAGTTTAGACTCGGCTGTACCAATTAATTCTATTACGTGTAGGAAGAACTAGTTTAGACTAGACTAGTTTGTTCTGAAATCAAGTTTGACTGATAACATACTATATAAACTGTGGTAGATATTATAAATTATTCAGCATTTGCTTCACTGCTCTATGTGCATTTATGTTTGTGTATATGACTTCCAACCCTATATATGTACATGATAACAAGATAACAAGACAAACTACTTATAATTTACAATCGAAAAAGTTTTATTTAAAAAAGTTGAGTTAGTAAACATGCTTTATCGTAGCAACTTATGGCTTAAAGTAGTTTATAGAAAAGCTTTTTTTCCTTTTGTTTGGCTTTATAATACAAAAACTGTTATTGGTTTTAGTCTCCAGATGGAAAAGTATTATGCAATGGTAACCGGAAAACGGCATGCTCTCTTGGTTTGATTGACCCTACAAAAAATAATACAAATAGCCATTCTAACTCACAGTGTTTGAAGTTCGCCATACAGTTTATTAGACACTTGAGAGATCAGTTTCACCAAGTATCTGTCGACAATGTTGATCAAAAATGCGAGGTTGCTGCCTTGGGTTCTCATTTTCCAGATAAATTTCAAGACGTCCAATTGGGTAAATATTCCATTTATTCCGTTTTTGTCAATTTTTTATTTTATCTATTTTGAAAAAATGAGACCAGACTATTTTATAACAACCATATCAGTAACTACAGACAAACGTGAATATCGAATTTTGTAACTTTCGAGTAAATTAAAAAAATGCGTTTTTAACTAGAACCTTTTGGTTTCGTATTCAATTTAATTAACTAATACCTATTTAACTAGGTAGTTTGAGGATATGTTTTCTTTGTAAATCAGTATTAAAACAAAACTTCATTAAAAAAAGATTTTGGTTTACACAACACTTTTATCCACCTTCTCAGTATATGTAATATAACATGTCCCATTATAAATAAAACAAAATCCATATTGCTTTTCCATTGTTCTAATAAAATATCCAATAATCTTCAAAGTATAAAGAATCATTAGAAGTAAGTACAGATAACAAATTTAACTAAATACTAGTTCGTTTTGGGGTTTTCTGAATTAGTAGAATAGTTTATACTATTATATAATAACATAGAGAGTGGAACAGCCAAATGAAATAAATTCGATAACGCTGGTCGACACATATCTTGTGACAGGCAGATTTTTTGGCATTTCCAATACGTTTTGGCATTCTAAAATCAAAATTATAGTTTGAGTTACCAGCAATTGTATCTTGAAAATAGGTGAGTTTAAGACAGGTTAAATATATCATCGCGGATAGATATGCATCGAATGTCTCATCTGGTTTTGGTTGGGCGCTTTTTATCTCCTTTGCTGCAGTGAAGAATAGTTTCAGCAATCCTCAGTAGTATTAAATGCGTTCAATCGATACATATTAACCAGCAATATTTATTTGATCTTGCGTGATTCATATTGAATTGAATTTCGCCTTGATGTGTGAGCCCACTAAGATGTATATCTGTTGGCAATTTTTCATCTACTTCTTTTTCCATGGACCATGCCCCTGTAAGTCTTTCCAAACTATTTCTTCTAATATTGTGGCCAAGGAACTTGGCAATATTTTCGGCTATTATGGTAAGTAGTCTCTTCTGTAGTTGGATCTCTTGGAGGGTTGATAAATTAGTTTTTTTCTCAGTTCAAGATGCCAGCAATACATCTCAAAGGCATATATTTTCTTTTTTCTGTTTGTTTTAATGTCCAACATTCAGATGCAATGATATTCTCTATATTCAGAAGAATATAGAGAATATCAGACTATCAACTATTCATACTTTAGTGTTACGCATTATACGATGACTTTTCCAAATCTTTTGTCACGGCTTGCTTAGACAATGCAATGCAATATATGCGCCAATAAGTGGCGCAAAATAGAAGACACTGGATTGATTTGGGGGAGGCCTATGTCCAAAGTTAGATTACTTAAGGCTGAAGAAGAAGAAGAATCTGGAGACCGGCTTCCAAACTTTTTTTTTCAACGTGTTTTATGAGTTCTTTTAATTTAGTTTTATGAATTCTTTAGATGAAGTGATGAGGGTGGTATTATCAGCGTACCAAAGGTTATTAATTTTATGCCATTGATGGTGATTCCTCCTTCCAGTTCTGTTGTAACGTTTCAATCAACCAATTGAACGTGACACCAAGCTCCGCTTGGTACTTGTCCCCCGTACTATATTATTCCAAAGCGACCTGACAAAATTATAAATATTTTTAGTAGCCGTTCCACTCTATATAAGCCGATACGAATTTTTATTCTCCCTTTTCAATCTTAACGTTACAATCATTCTTAATAAATTTATACTCACACAAAGTGGTTAGTGTCTCGGCCGTATACATGGCCACTACCGTGGGGAGCAAGAAGTAGACAACCACACTACCGTGGGGAGCAAGAAATAGACAACCACAATACAACAATCAGCAACCACTTACAAATCCATTGATGCATCAGAACAGAATTTGAAACCATTATATAGACCATTATATAGACTACCGCACTTAAAGACATCTTTAAATCACTAAATTGGGAAACGAAGTGACTATCAATAAACGGAAAGTGTTTAAACCATCTAAGATATGCAGATGACGTAGTACTAATAGCCGACAGCTGAAGAGAACTTTAATGTCGAATAAAGATGATCAACCGACGATAACCATCCAAGGAACAAAAGTGGAACATGTAGAAGAATACATATATCTGGGTCAGAATATCAAGGTAAACAAAGAAAACCAAACTACCGAAATAAGCAGAAGAGTAAGAATGGATGGGCCGCATTTGGAAAACTCTCATATATACTGAAAGACAAAAAGATACCCAAAACCTTCGAACCAAAGTGTTCGATTCTTGTATCTTTCCCGTTCTCACTTACGGAGCTCAAACCTGGACATTCACAAAAAAGAACATGGACAAGATTCGAAAAACTCAGCGAGCCATGGAACGACAGATGCTTGGTATCTCACTAATAGATCGGCAAACGAACGAAGCAATCCGAACAAAAACAAAAATAAAGGACGCCGCGAAACAAGCAGCTAAATTAAAATTGAAATGGCTGGACACAACGAACGTCTCGAAGATGGTAGATGGAACAAAGAAGTCGGAAACTGGCGACCGTACGATGCGAAGAGACAAGAGGAAGACCTCAAATGCGCTGGAGCGACGATATCAAAAGAGTCGCAGGACCAATGTGGAAACGCCTAGCACACAACAGGGATGAATGGCGAGAAATGGGAGAGGCCTTTATTCGACAATTCGGATAGAAAAAGGGCTATAAAAAAATATAACCAGCAACTCCCCTTAACTCAACCAACAACCCCCGACAGCGGCTAACTTCCACAAAGATCGGAACCCTTTATGAAGTACTGAACGACTCATTCAGAACGAACTAAAGCTGAGTACCTTTTTTATACTTTAGTTATTTTATACCGACAACCGGCATAATCTTTGAGTCTCAGTTTAATTTATTTTTGTTTCATGTTCATAATTTGAATTATGTTTATTTTTTATTTAATAAATAGATATACCTTTGTTATGGCTTAATAAGTATTCTTATTGCCTGTACCTTTCTGGGATTGGTGTAGAGAGAGAATGAACAGGAAACGAACCCAGGACTGAGCAGTCGAGCAGAGCACCATTCTGATGGATGAAACAGTGGGCGTTTTTTTCTTGAATATCCTTAAGGATATTCGAAGAATCTCTCCCCTCGTTTCTTCCCGCAGTATGGTGTTGCTTAACGCCCTGGTCTTAATAAGATTAAGACGTTACACTGTACACGCGATATAATGCCTTTATGAAGTGAAAAATTCTGTAAATCGTTTAATTTTGGAACGATGGGCTCCTAAAAAGTTGCAACTATATCCGAAATATCTAAAAACAGCAAAAAGTATTTTTTATTGATAATGAAACATAACATATTTATCTATTTAATTATGACAGTTTAAAATTTATCACAAGCTAAGGATAGGTTCTGAGAAATTAAGAAAAAATTAGCTGATGCGTGTCAATTACAAAGTAGTTTTAATTTTTAGGAACATATTACCCTATAACAAACGAGACCCTTGTTGATGAACTGCAATATATTTTAAACAATATGTCGCAAAAAAATTATGGATATGAAAAAGAATTCCAGAGCCACATATTTTTCTCACTTGATTACGACGTAAAAGAAAAATGTAAGTAATTTTAATTTAATTAATATCTCTGCTTAAAACTTTTATTAAAATTATTATATTAAAAAATACTTTTTACGAATTACACTATCAACGTCTTCGAAATAGTAATAATAAAACGAAATCAACCACAAATCCAAAAACCTGCAATCATACACCTACAAAACCGAGTTTTAGTGAAAGTATGAAAAGTTAAGTTGGTAATTGATAGAAGAACGAAGAGTGGTAAAGGTACTTCTAATTTCAGTACAACTATGATTTAATTTTCGTTGTTTGTTGATAATTCCTCTGTAACCAATCCGGAATATTGGAAATTGTACCCGTGTGGGATTGTCCGAAATAGATCTAGAGAAAGGAAAATGATTTGCCCTAACAAAAAGTAGATAATGATCGTGTATTTTAATAGTGGTAATTTACGTGCAATTAAAAATTATTTTCTAGAGATCTTTGCGTTAAGTAATTCATAGAAATCTCATACCTAAAAGGTGCGAGGAAATTTTCGGTCAGACCTGTAATGCGACTTCCAACTTCACCATCCACGCTCCCACTTCGTCGCCTATCGGAAGTCGAACCTTCAAGTCGTCCCTCTAGATGTTCCGAGTCGTACAACTAGTTCATAGTATCAACTAGTTGTCCAACTAATCCAACCAGCCCACTCACAATCCGATTTCAGATTTAACTGTTGAAGTTGGACCACTAGTCGGACTAAAAATCAGGCCATTCACATTCACGTTCCGATTTATTCTTATAGGTGAAGTCCAGACAAAGATTAAAAGAATGGCAGCATGCCAAGAGGGCTTTAGACATGTATCTTTGCTATTATCGGGCCAATCGTGACGTAAATATCAACTTTTGAGCTCAAGAGGTAATGTCACAACTTTAATTATTACTAAATTGATCGATTAAATTTAAATTTAATCCGAGAAAGCGTATACTTAATTAGAGGATTGGAAGAGGTTTGAACGGGATATAAATTTTATATTTATTCAGACACAGTTAGAAGAGAGTTGTAAATATGAATTTAAATTTGTTATTATGAACAAAAAAGAATACTTTTATATCATATGTAAAAATATGATTAAAAATAGTAATTTAAATAATAATAATAGTCACCGAAGTTTTAATCACAGTCAACAAAATATAGTTAATGTTCACAAAATTTTGGGTATATAATATATATATATATATATATATATATATATATATATAATAATATATATATATATATATAATATAATATAATATAATATAATATAAATATAACAAAAGAGAGTGAAATTTCTAAATAGATAATGGAGATATGATAAATTTTTCCGAGCACCGGGGATTTAAAAATCCGAATTTTTTCTCGCCGTACCGACAGAAGAAGAGCATCCCCACCACTGAACCAATTCGACTACTCGAAAAAACATTTAACTTTACTTATATTTTTGACTGTAAATAGAGGTTTTTTTTTAATAAAAATTATATCCTCATAAAACTTAGGCCATTAACTATTATTGAACGGCGATGACTTTAATTCTTAATTGTTACAAACAAATCAGCTGTGATTTTGTAAACAAATTAAGCTAAATCCACTTCTATTGGTCGTAGTAAACTTTTTTATCTTGACTTCAGCTCTAAGAATCAGCAAGTTAAAAACATGTATAATATAATATAGGGAGTGCTGTTGCTTAATTTATTTATAACGCAAAAGTTGCCCCAACTTTAAAGCAATAAAAAAGGAGTTGAAACATTTTTTAATCAAATATTTTTATTTCTACATATAATCGAAGAAGATTCGTTTAGAATTAGAGCTCTACCTTTTTTATGAAAAAAGTTATGGCCCTGCGAAAGTTATATGCTTTTTAGAGTTTTTATAAACAAGTAAACGTATCTGAAAAACGAATTGACCGATCGGATCTTACAGTCTCATTCGATTTATAATTAAAAGGGCTAAAATATAATGATTTTTGCAGAAAAAAAAATTATAAAAGGTATTTCAAAAACTGAAATGGAAAACAATTGACATTTTTGGACTCTCAATGATTATTTTTGTAAAAACTATTGGGCGAAATTAACTGTAGCGTACTACAAATTAAAGTTTTGTTTTATATACTTTCATAATATTGTACTCATTTTAGCCTAAAATGTTGATTTGATACAATTAAAAAAATATAATAAAAAAAACCGTTTGTTGCACCTTAAAAGTGCATAAGAATGCAATTATAACCAACACTTTAAAGTTTCAAACAGTTAGTGGTGACTCCAAGTATTGCCCTTCATAACGCTGTGTGTTTTGTGTAAAACTTAGAGGTCGCTGGTGACATGAAATTAGAATAATAATCGAAGAAAAAAATGCAATTTCTGATTGTGGATAAATTTGCGAAAATAGCAAATATTAATTGTCAATAAATTCCGATAATTAGCTAGCTCAACTCATTGCTGTTAACTGTACAGAGAATAGAACTTACCTTAGAAATATTGGTGTATTAATCATGGCCAGTGAAATAAAGTTGTATTTGACCATCGCGGTGCTATCTGAGGCACAAAAAAAGGGATGTCCCGATAAACTGGATGTTTTCACTACGCTGTCTCGATGGGAAGTGTTCGCATTTGTCAGGATAAAAAATCTGCACCTACAACTTCTAAGGGGTGGTTAAGTTCGTGGGGCAAGTGCATCCCATAAATCAACTCTATTGTATGGCAGTTTTGAATGGCGATAATCTAACTTAATGGTCTTAGTAATATGATACTTTACAAAATAGCAAAGAGAAAAGTCCGATTCTTTGAACTTAAAAATAAACTAAATATGTTTTAAACCAGTTTAACAATAAGATTTTACTGAATAGCAGAAAATAATTACTTTTAACGTAAAGTAGTAAGAATATACCATTAAATTAGATTATATTATAGTACAGTGAAAAAAATATTAATTGTAAAACATGAAAATAAATATTAAATACTTTCCCAAACATTGTGCTTGATTTAAAAACTCACTAATTAATGCTCAAAATCATATTGATTTTTGTCTCTATAGCTTGGATTATTAATCTTCCGAAATTTATACATATTTTTTACTCTAAATAAATACTTTTTTAGGTATAAACAAGTCTACAAGTTTACAGAAAAGTGGCTCACATGAGAAATATTCGTTTAAGATGTTAGCATTGATTTTTTTAGTTTTGTATTTGGTTACTAAATTTTAAAAACTTAATAAAACGTAACTGTATCTAAATGAGTTCTTATTTCGCTTGTGTGACTTTTCCCATTTTCTGAGTGTAGGGGTGTGTAATAAAACTTGTACCTTTCACGTAAGATATATGACTCTCACTAAGATATATGACTCTCACTTAATGTGATTGTATATTGGTGTTTACCAATTTCAATACAATACTCTGCATGCTAAATACGACATATACTGCCTTAACCCTTTGCGACTTAGTGACTTCACGGTGGAACCACCTTTAAACAAATTTTTTACTACTGCCAGAGTAATCGTACGCTGAGGTCACCAGACGGAATGCGATGTATACGTCGTATATTTCACTTCACACGCGATTACAAAATTTCAGGAGCAGTTATGCTATGCATAGTGTACAAAATACATTTGGCACGCTCACAAGTGAATGACAGTGAGGTTATTTATTGTTGTAAATAAACAAGCATTCTTCTACCGGTAAAAGGTAAGTATCTATTATGTTAATTTTTTCAGAAATATACGTATTTATGTATTACCGTATTGGGTCTTTATGATCTACGTAGATAACTAAGATTAACTTAAGTGAATTTTGATTGGTGGTTCCAATAGGTGCCCCTAGGCCAATCAATATCTAATAGGTATGTTTTGTTACAGAACTCCAGAATGAAAAGACGTCTTGATTTGAGTAAAATAACAAGTAATGACGCTTACGCTTTACTAACAGATATCCCATCGGATGAATCTGACGTATCCGATTTTGATGAGAACGAGAATGAAGATATCGACATGACTTAATGCGCATGGAAGTGATGGTGAAGACGAGGTATCAGTTGTTATTCTTAATAAGTTAAAATGGACTACCGACCCAAATAATGCCCCTCAACTCCGTCCTTTCTCAGAAAACTTTGTACCAAATATTCCTAATCCTTTAGAGACTTCCCTTGATTTCTTTCTTCATTTCTTTAGTGAGAACCTGATGAATACACTTGTTTCACAAACTAATTTATACGTAGTCCAAGAAAATTACAAAAACAACACTCCCACAACAGTTGAAGAAATAAAGTGTTTTTTGGGAATAAACCTTTTGATGAGCGTGAAAAAGTTGTCCAGTTATAGAGATTTCTGGTCTTCGAATTTTTTATCAGGGATCAATTTATTTTTTTATGTATATCGCGTGACAGATTTGGATGGTTGCTTACTCATCTTCACATAAATGAACATTTATTACAACCTAAGAAAGGTAATGGCAATTATGATGCTGAATTACTGATTATGAACTCTACAAAGTGCGGCCATTGCTAAAGGAACTTTCAACTACTTATAAAAGCTCATTTTATCCCAGCAGGCAACAATCAATAGATGAATCGATGATAAGGTTCAAGGGAAGAAGTAGTTTACGCCAGTATATGCCGATGAAGCCCATAAAAAGCAGATATAAGGTATGGGTACGTGCAGATTAGTCAGAATATGTTTTACAATTCCAAATATACATCGGAAAAGTAAAAGATGTAAGGGAGCAAAACCTCGAAGTAAGAGTAATAAAAGATCTTACAAGAAATATAGCTGGAAAAAATTATGAAGTTTATTTCGATAACTATATCAATTCTGTTGCATTACAACGCGACTTGATAAAAGACAAAATTTACGAATGTGGAACAACTCGAAAAGATAGAAAAGTTTTTCCAAATGAACTTAAAACAAATAAAAAAAATGGAAAGGGGTGACTCAAACTGGAGAATGAGTAAAGATGGCCTGCTAGCTTTGCAATGGATGGATAAAAAACCCATTAATTTTCTAAGCAATTTTCACAAACCTGAAGAAAATGTCACTGTTAAGAGGAAAGAAAAGGATGGGACATCAGTAGAAATTAATTTCAAACAATTAGTACATGATTAACATTCATTAACATTTGTTGACCTTAAACATTACTAAACTCATATATAATTTTCAAACAATCAACAACTGGTACAAGAATGTCTTTGAAAGAATTTATAATTGCTGGGGTACCTGTTTGAGTGGAGCAGACTCCCAAGTGCCAAAATTTGGAAGAAGAACCCTGGACGAACCAGGCACCAGTAACAGGTTCATATAACAAATTCCTCTAAAAATAAGAAGTGACAAAACGGTCCATATGCCTCAGCATGGAGCCAAAGTACGTTGTACATACTGCAGTATCAAGGCAACTCCTCATCGTACAAGATGGCACTGTACTACATGTAAACTAGGTTTATGTCTATCAGAAATAAAAAAGGTTTCATTCCATTTCACGCTAAATAATTTTTTCGTTTGTGGCTTAGTGGTTTCACACGGTACCACCTTTATTTCTAATAATTATAAAAATTATATATTAAAAACCTTTGATTTGTCTATCTTTTGCCCTAATATATCCTAAAAACAAATTATTTGCCATTTAATATAAACAAAAAAAAGTCGGTCCACAAAGGTTTAAATACATCTAAGTACAGAGCGTTTTTGGAAGATATATTTTATATATTTTGTTTAACGCAAAGGACAGAAAACGATGATTACTAAATTGTTTTTGTTTACGACTCTCATAGAATATGACAATTTTTTACGCTGTTATCATGTTAGCCTTTTGTAACAAATTGTAGAAGTGGTCGTTGTGGTATGTGCCAATGTAATAAAAATTATAAGAAAAGAACCAGAATTAGGAGTATGCTTACAACACAGAATAGGTGAGACCTAATGCAGCTTGGCTGGCAGGTTATGGCCAAGGAAGAATTCGGAAAATGTATATGCCCGTAAATGACAGTTAACTAGGAATGCATGTGAAAAAAAAACAATGAAGGTAAAGGTGAGAGATGTGTACGTGCACAGATTTAACAGAACGAAGTAAACCGATTTATCTTAAAAATTGTTAAGTGTCGAACAACATAACAAAAAAAGTAGCCAAGAAAAGACAGGAAATTTATCGAGAAAATACCAAAATACTATTAGAGATAAGAGAAGAGAAGAATAAAGGATCCGAAATATTACTAACCTTCTCGAAGTAATAAAAGACGAATATTTGTCAACATTTATTTAATAATTTTACAATATTATTGGGATCCAAAAATAAAATAACAATAATTTAAACAATATTTAAATTTATTCAAGGTTAAAACAAATACAAACTTAAAATCGACCGATAAACATTTTGTTTAATGTCATGTACACTTTTTGAAGCTTTTTCTTGTCCAACATAGACAGATTTTATATATACATACATATAAAAATCTTAATCATGTTACCTAATAAACATCTATTTTTTAACACCATAATCTCATGGTTAAGAATGTAACTTGAACTAATCTACTCTATTTTTATATTTTTTCTTCTTATAGGTCGATTCATATCTTTTAAATACATAAAAAGCGGAAGTTTCATTTGACACTGATTCATTTCTATCTAAAACTCATAAATTAACTCTTAAAACTGGTTGAAAGTCGCAAGAACCATAAGAACTACATCAAAGTTAGTGATTCTAAAATATATTTACTATATTTGTTAAAGAAACCAATTCTGTCTTGAGGCAGCATTTACAACCATTTATTTAATTTATAATTGCAATCGATATTATGTTTACAGAGCAAAATATCAATATCAAAATATAAAAATCACACAAATATACCAGATTATGAAAAAAAGGGATGATAAAATGCAAACGTGAATAGTGACAAAAAAAACATTAAAGGTATTGACAAACACTAATATTCTCCAGATATAGATACTAATCGACATTATTGATGGTAGACCTGTTTGGAATCTAATAATGGATGAGGATAATTATAATATCATTCTTAAATTTCAAATCAAATTTACAATAAAAAAAGGAAAAAATTTTTAAAAAAGGAAAGCTATTAAATCAGCACCTTTATCAATCAAGTATTACTCACAAAACCAACTCCTATTCAATTGATAACGCAATGAAAATTAGAAAAATAACACTCCTTTGAAACAGTTCTTATAACACTGTATGACATATTTCAATATACAGACGATCTGTTTGACTTGGCTAAATGAGTAAAAACTGTACATATTTGTCAACACTACAGTATCTTTACAGACCAGAAATATAAGAAAAAAAATAATATGTTAAAAGATACTATAGGTATTCAAATATCTGCAGTAATGATATCAGTAACACCAGTATTTACATCTCTTTTATTAAATTATTTTTTGTGATTAATAAATTTAAAATATTATTCTAGTACTTTATAAAATATAATAAATACACAAACTATGATGTTGATGCATTTATTTTATAATCAATAATAAAAAATATATTATCGTGATTGTAAAAGTAACACTTTATTTTTATACGAAAGATTAATATTGTTAATCAATATCTGATAATATAAAAGAAGAAAAATGGGCCGTTTATTGTGTTAACTCAAGCTTCTATCGTTGTTATTCCAAAAGTTTCGGACTTTTAACTCTCATTCAATATATATGTTGAACATCTACATGTCTTACCTTGTTAAATACTATTTTTCTTAAACTTTATCTGGCTGTTTTTTTGTATCTCTTCCAGTACCAGTATATAGTCTTTTTATTTCATTATTTCAGCTGTAATCAGATATTCTTTCGTTTTTTTTTTTGAACTTACATTTTGGCCTCCCCTTTTTGTGTCCCTATTTTAGTTAAGCATGGTTCATTTAGTAGAATCACGTTCTTCCATTCATATTACATAGACTCACTAAGTTATACGATGCATTTTAATTGTTGGTCTGATGTTAATCATGACATTTTCAGACCTAAAGGAAATGTTGGATACTTCGGATTCATTTTCCGGGGAATCAGCCAACATTAATCTGCTTTGCTTGTATAGTTGGTTTTGCGATTTGTAGTCGATAATCTCTTTCGCTATTTTTTGTCTCTGTACATGGTTGTCCACAGGCTGGCTCCAAGCTTCCTAATTTTTTTTAATTATCTGGTTACCCATCTCATTTTAGATCTTGTCCTTGGACACTATTTCTCAGTTTCTCCTTTCCAGACGTTCCATGCATTTGTGCCTTTATATATTAACAAAACTG